TCGGCTCAGGTCATGATCCCAGGGTCCTGGGATCGAGCCCCACATCGGGCTCCCTGCTAGGCGGGAAGCCTACTTCTCCCTCTTCCACTCCCCCTGCTTGTGTTTCCTCTCTAGCTGTCTCTCTCTCTGTGTCAAATGAATAAATCTTTAAAAAAAAAACAAAAACAACAACAAAAAAACAATTCCATTTAGAATTGCACCAAACAGAATAAAATACCTAGGAATAAACTTAACAAAGAGGTGAAAGACCTGCACTCTGAAAACTATAAAACATTGATGAGAGAAATTGAAAATGGCACAAACAAATGGAAAAACATTCCATGCTCATGGATTGGGAGAATTAATCTTGTTAGAATATCCATTCTACTGAAAGCAGGATACAGATTCAATGCAATCTCTATCAAATACCAATAGCATTTTTCAGAGAACTAGAATACTAAAATGTGTATGGAACCACAAAGACTTCAAATAGTCAAAGCAATCTTGAGAAAGAAAAACAAAGCTAGAGGCATCACAATCCCAGATTTCAAGATATACTACAAAGCTGTAATCAAGACAGTATGGTACTGGCACAAAAACAGACACATAGGTCAATGGCACAGAATAGAGAGCCCAGAAATAAACCCATGATTATATGGTCAATTAATCTGTGACAAAGGAGGGAAGAATATACAATGGGGAAGACAGTTTCTTCAATAAATGGTGTTGGGAAAAACTGGACAGCTATATGCAAAAGAATGAAACTGGACCACTCTCTTACACCATACACAAAAACAAAATCAAAGTGGATTAAAGGCCTAGATGTGAGACTCGAGACAATAAAACTCCTAGGAGAAAATACAGGAAGTAATATCTTTGATATTGGGCATAGCAACATTTTTCTAGATATGTTTCTTCACGTAGGGAAAACAAAAGCAAAAATAAATACTTAGGACTACACCAAATAAAATGCTTTTGCATGGCAAAGGAAACCATAAACAACACAAAAAGGCAACCTATTGAATGAGAGAAGATATTTGCAAATGATATATCTGATAAAGGGTTATGTAAAGAACTTATATAACTTTACACCCAAAACCCAAACAATCCCATTAAAAAATGGACAGAGGACCTAAATAGACATTTTTCTAAAGAAGATATACAAATGGCCAAGAGACCCATGAAAAGATGCTCATCTCTAATTACCAGGGAAATTCAAATCAAAACCACAATGAAATATCAAAGGAACTCTGTGCACTGTTGGTGGGAATGTAAATTGGTATAGCTGTTATGGAAAACATTATGGAGGTTCCTCAACAAACTAAATATTAAAATACCATATGATCTGGTAATTCTACTACTGGGTATTTGCCCAAGGAAAATGAAAACACTAATTCAAAAAGATATATGCACCTCTATGTTTATTGCACCATTAATTATAACAGCCAAGGTTGGAGGCAACCAAAGTATTCACCAATAGATGGGTGGATAAAGAAGAGGTGGCATATATATATATCATATATATAATATTTATATATTATTACCCCATATATATATATGGAGTATTACTCAGCCATAAGAAAAGGATGAGATCTTGCCCTTTGTGACAACACGGATGGACATAGAAGACATTATGCTAAGTGAGATAAGTGAGACAGGGAAAGACAAATACCGTATGATTTCATTCATGTGGAATCTATGTCTTTTCTAGAATTTCATGTAAATGGAATCATAAGGTATGTAGTCCTTTGTCTCTGGCTTCTTAAATATAATGTCATGTTTTTGAGATTCACTCATGGTGAGATAATAGAAAATATTTATTGGTCTCTGCCCCTGGTTCCTGGCATAGAGCACCTAAACCCCTTGTAATTTCCGAAGTGATAAGCACACAAGGAGAATCTTTTGTTTTATTGTTTTCTTAAATAGCTATATTATTTTGTATTACTACCAGTGGTATATAAAAGTTCCAGTTCCTTGCCAAAGCTTAGTATTGTCTTTTAAATATTAGCCATTTTAGTGAGTACATAATGAGTGGTACTTCATTGTGATTTTAATTGCATTTTCCTGATGACTAAGGATGTTAGGTATCTTCCTTGTGCTTATTTTTGGTTTCCTGTATCTTCTTTGGTGAAGTGCAATTTTTCTTTTTTTGCACATTGAAAAAATTGAGTTGTAAGAGTGCTTACATGTTCTGGTGAAAGTCCTTTATTAAATATGCTTTGCAAATATTTTCTCCTGCTTGGTAGTTTGCTTTTTAGTTTTCTAAAGTGACTTTTGAAGAGCAAAAGGTTTTAATTTTGATGAAATCCAGTGTACTGTTTTATAGTTTTATAGTTCATGCTGTCTCCTATTTAAGAAAGCTTTTTGCCTAACAAAGTCACTAAGATTTTTCTTCTATGTTTTCTTCTAGAGGTTTTATAGTTTGGGTTCTTACATTTAGGTCTACATTCCATTTTGAGGTTTATTTTGTTTGTACAAGGGGTGAGTTAAGGGTCATGGTTAACATTTTCTATGTGGACATCCAGTTGTCTCTATACTTGTATTAGTTGGAAAGATTATCCTTCTTCTCCAGAGTTGTCTTGGAAACTCTGTGGAAAATCAAGTGACCATAGAGGCCCGAGTATATTTCTGGCATCTCTACTATATTCCATTGATTTTTTTTTTACACCAATGCCAGCTACACTGTCTTGATGACTGTGGCTTTATAATACATCTTGAAATCAGGTAGTGTTAGTTCTCCGACTTTGTTCTGTTTCAAAATTGTTTTGCCTCTTTAGATCCTTTGCATTTCCATTTAAATTTTAGAATCTGTCAATTTCTACAGAAAAGCCTCCTGGGATTTTGATTGGGATGGGATTGAATAGTTCAACTGGAGAGAATGGACATCTTAACAACATAGGGTCTTCTGATCCATAAGCATCTCTTCTCTCTCCATTTATTTAGGGTTTCTTTAATTTCACTCAGCAATATTTTGTACTTGTCCGCAGAGTGTTTTTGCCAGAACCTCCTAGCTTCTGAATCCAACGGTTCCTTTCAGTCCCAATCTTAATAGACCTCTTCAGTGCCCAACATTGGACCATTACCTCTTTCTTGCCTCCCCAGACTTTCTGTCCTCACCCTGCCTTTGTCTTCCTTCTATTCTTTGGATAGGCCTATCCTATTCTCCCACAGGTGCTCTCCCTGTTTCACAGGAAGCTGATCAGCTATACTCCAGGTGGCTGCAGTTAAATGGTCAGCTGTGTTGGTGAAGATCTGTTCTGAAAGGAAGCCTTCTCTTGGATCTTTTAGAGAATGGTCTGCCTTCCCTCCAACAATTGTGGGATGATATTTTAAAAAGTGTCTTTTAAAAAGATACCATTCTTGGAGTGGGTGAGTCTGGAGATGGGGGGAAATTGCCATGCTAGAAAACCTAGCAGTTTTGCAGGGTTTTCTATCCACCATCTCAGCCTCTTGAGCTCTCCATGGTTTTCTTTGAATCACTATTTTTAACGATGCCCATTTAAAAAAAATACTGAAATTTACATAACATAAAATTAATCCTTTTTTTTTTAAAGATTTTATTTATTTATTCGACAGAGAGAGTGAGAGAGTATAAGCAGGGAGGAATAGTAGAGGGAGAGAGAGAGAAGCAGGCTTCCCGCTGAGTAGAGAGCCCGACGCGGGGCTCGATCCCAAGACCCTAAGATCATGACCTGAGCCGAAGGCAGACACTTAACCATCTGAGCCACCCAGGCGCCCCGACATAAAATTAATCCTTTTAAAGTGAACAGCTCTGTGGTCTCTCCCCATTCTCCCCTAACCGTAGCCCCTGGCAACCACCAATCTGTCATTTCTCTGTTTATTTATCTATTATGGATATTTCATATGGAATCATACCATATGTGTGACCTTTTGTGGCTGTCTTTCACCTAACATAATGGTTTGGAGGTTCTTGAGTCACTTTTTTTCTACGTTCTATTTTGTTAAACTGTTCTCTGTCACTTAATGGGAATCCGTGGTTACCCAGCCTGTCCGATGAAACTGTAGTAGATAATCGACAATATTAACAGTAATATGCAAACATAAGTGTTGTCTTAGGGATGGTGATCGGTGCTGTTTGGCTCTTGGTTCTCCCAGAATTGGCTTCGAGTGCAGGCAAAGTTACATAACGTTACACTTGACATTTCATCAAGGAAAAAACAACAGAACATCCCAAACTAACTTCCTCATTAGCAAGATGCTACCATACGATGCGTTTAGGAAAATAGCAGAGAAAGACAGGAAGAACTGACCGTTGAGAGCCAGCTCTGGAGGCTCTCAGACCTGTGCATGAGATACAAAAATTGTATCCTTCTGTCTGTCTCCATGCTTAAAACCCGGCTCAAACAGTTACCTAACATGGCACCTTTTGTGGGCCCGTCAGCAATACTAGTGACCTAAAGTGGCTTCTTCTGTGTGCCACCTTAGGGACAATCAGAACAAACCTTCCTGCATTCCGGTCAGCGCAAACATTAACCTCCAGGGGGCCTGGAACACGAATTCGGAGGGAAGTCATTGCGTGGGCATAAAAAGGATGGACCACCAAAGGAAGAGTCAGTGTTGCCAGCAGTCCTACAGTCCCTCTTCCTAGCTGTCATATGGCCATGAAGTCATTTTGGGGAAAGGGAACTACACCTGCTCTCGGTACAGCCGTCGGTGGGTGCTTACAGCCTTCTCAGCGAACACGCTCTGGTTTAACAAGCGCAGCCAAACGACACTTTTCTAGTCGGCCTTCCTCCACGCACTGTGAGCGTCCAAAGACTAGTCCTATCTGCCACACAGCAGGGACTTGGCAGGTCCACTCCCCCCAGGTCGCAAGCCCAACACGGAAACAGCTGGCCACGTTGGCCAGCCTGGGGTCTCAGCTGAGCAGCCCTAACTGAAACTGGCAGACGCACAACCCGCCCCCGCAACCGCAGCCCAGGCTCCGCCCCTCGGCGCCCATTGGCTCATTCAATTCACGCCGCGCCTTCTACAGCCGGGCCGGCGGCGTGCTCTGTGTGCCGGAGCCTCGGCTTGCGCAGTCCGGGGCTGCGGGAGCCGAGACGCATCCCCGTCGGGTAGCAGCCATGAGCACCCCAGCCGTGCCCCAGGACCTGCAGCTGCCCCCGAGCCAGAGGGCTCAGCCCGCGTTCAGAGGTGAGGGCCGCGGTGGCGGGAGCGGCGCGACCCGCGGGCGCCTCGTTTGCCCGAGGGGACGGGGGCGACCGTGGGAGAGGGGGGTGGCTCGGAGTCGGCGGCTGGGGCCTCAAGTCCGCCGACCAGCTTCGGCCCTGACCAGTTGTGTGAGAACCGTGGGCAGATCGCTCGGCCTTTCACAGCCGCAATCTCCGCATTTGCGAAATGGACAACCAGAACGGTGCCGGGTCCGTGGTGTTAGTGTGCGGGGCGGAGCGCCTCACGTGCGGTCGTTAGTGGCCGGGCGTGACCCACCGGTGGCGGAGACGGGCCTGCCGTGGACGAGTCCGTTTGGCGAGGGAGGGTGCGCGGCACTCCTGTCCGCCCCCGGGTTGGGGACTCGGGACCTGCGGGGGGGGCGGGGCCGCGCCCGGGTCGAGTGGCGACTGCGCTTGCGCAGGGCGCTCCCGCCTTCTGAGTGGAGAGCAAGTTCGTTTTTTTAAATTTTATTATTTTATGTTAGTCACCATACAATACATCATTAGTTTTTGGTGTAGTGATCCACGATTCACTGTTTTTGTATAACACCCATTGCTCCATGCAGTACGTGCCCTCCTTAATATCCATCACTGGGCTAACCCATCCCCCCACCCCCCTCCCCTCTAACACCCTCAGTTTGTTTCTCAGAGTCCATAGTCTCTCATGGTTCATCTCTCCCTCCGATTTCCCCCCCTTCATTTTTCCCTTCCTTCTCCTAGTGTCCTCCATGCTATTCCTTATGTTCCACAAATAAGTGAAACCATATGGTAATTGACTTTCTCTGCTTGACTTATTTCACTTAGCATAATCTCCTCCAGTCCCATCCATGTTGATGTAAAAGTTGAGTATTCATCCTTTCTGATGGCTGAGTAATATTCCATTGTATATATGAACCACATCTTCTTTATCCATTTATCTGTTGAAGGGCATCTCGGCTCTTTCCACAGTTTGGCTATTGCGGACATTGCTGCTATGAACATTGGGGTGCACATGGCCCTTCTTTTCACTACATCTGTGTCTTTGGGGTAAATACCCAGGAGTGCAATTGCTGGCTCCTAAGGTAGCTCTATTTTTAATTTTTTGAGGCACCTCCACGCTGTTTTCCAAAGTGGCTGTACCAACTTGCATTCCCACCAACAGTGTAAGAGGGTTCCCCTTTCTCTACAACCTCTCCAACATTTGTTGTTTCTTGCCTTGTCAATTTTTGCCATTCTAACTGGTGTAAGGTGGTATCTCAATGTGGTTTTGATTCGAATTTCCCTGATGGCTAATGATGATGAATATTTTTTCATGTGTCTGTTAGCCATTTGTATGTCTTCTTCCTAGAAGTGTCTGTTCATGTCTTCTGCCCATTTTTTGACTTGATTATTTGTTTTTTTGGGAGAGCGAGTTTTTGGGAGAGTTGGGGTTGCCTCGTCTGATGCTTCAAATTTAACACAATCGACTTTATGTAAATCCAGGGTTGGCTGGGTCTTCAGAAATAATATTGTTAGTTCTTTGTCCTGCACATGGGAACACAGAGGAAAGAAACTCTTTCCCAACCCAGCTCTGGTAAATTAGAACTTGGAGTCTAGTGTCTCTACTCTGCTATTTAGTTTCTTTAAAGCTTGGCTTTCAGTAACCCTATGTTGAAAATGACGTTCTCCAGATTTTTCACTTTCAAACAAGAGAGAATGTAATTCTTGTGCAGTGCTTGTGGGGACCTTTTATGGTAACAATCTCTTAAAAATGGGATTATTTTTCAAAGGCAATACTGAACTGGGAAATTTTCTGTTGTATGTAAGATGTGATCTCTAGTAGAACATTTTTCGAAGTAAGATGTTCATTTAGTGAATATTTATTTGCTGTTACTGTTGTAACAAATGTTGACTTGTTGCTTTTTTGTTGTTTAGAACAAAGAAGACAAAAACTCAAGGAACATATGTTAAAAAGAAAAACTTTTTTTGCATACAAACAGGAAAATCACATACCCAGGTGAGGTCAAATTTTCTCATTTCAGATCTGTAAAATTATGTCAGAGCTGTCTAATAAAAATGTAATTGGAGCCAAAATTGTACTGTAATTTAAAATTTCTGGGGTGTCTGGGTGGCTCAGTGGGTTAAGCATCCCATTCTTGATTTTGGCTCAGGTCAGATCTCAGGGTCCTGGGATTGATCCCCACTTCTGGCTCCCCTCTCAACAGGGAGTCTGCTTGTCTCCCTCTACCTGTGCCCTTCCCCCAGCTGGCTCTTTCTCTCTCTTAAATAAATAAATCTTAAAAAAATTTTTTCTAGTAGCCACATTTGAGAAGTCTTTTTATTTATATATATATGTATTATTATGTCCAATCATTAGTTTTTGATGTAATTATTTATATTTTTTAAAAAATATTTATTGGGAGAGTGCATGAGCAGGGGATGGGCAGAGGGAGAGGGACAAGCAGACTCCCTGCTGAGCTCGGAGCCTGTGGTGGGGCTCAGTCCCAGGACCCTGAGATAATGACCTGAGCTTAACCAACTGAGCCACCCAGGTGCCCCTCTGAAAAGTCTTTTTAAAAGATGAATTGTAATAACATTTAATCAAATATATACCATGTTATAATTTCAACATGTAATTCTTAAAAGTTATTGAGATATTTTACATCCTTTTTAGGTACTGAGTTTTCAAAATCTTGGTATGTATTTCACACTTTCACACATCAGTTTGGACTAGGCACATTTCAAGTGCTCGGTAGCCATACCTTCTTGGATAGCACAGTATTTCTTCCCATGTAAATTAATTCACACTCTAAGATGAAACAATTAATTTTAAAGGAAAGTGTTTGTATATATCAAAATATTGATTTATGGTTTATGCACTGCTACAAAGGTCAGTCTTAATTTAGTAAGGTTTTTACACTGTGTTGGGGGGAGGGGGAGAGGCATAAATGGTTATTCTTCAGGAGGTGGCTCTCCCCAAATGTTTAGAGATCATTTGTTTTAGTCTCAACCCTCCATAGGAGTATCTTGGTGTTATTTTGTTAAAATTTAAAAAATAGTACATGGTTGTGGCTGAAACAAAGCCCCATGAAAGTATATAAAGCAGATCAAATGCCCCCTCTAGAGATAACTGTTAGTAACATCCTTTAGGCTCCTTCTGGCATTCTGAGAGCATTGGCTTTAGAGTGATAAGGACTGGAGCCCATAAGTCTGCCACTACAACTGTGTAACCTCAGGGGAGTTACGTGGCTTCTCTGAGTCCATTTACTTATATTAAAATGGGATAGTAATGTGTGTTCCTTGGGGATCAAATAAGAGAGTGAATGCATTGTGCTATGCCTGGTATATGGAGAGAGCCCAATAAGTGGTAGATAATGTTTCACGATTTCTCAGTGGCTTTACACACAGAGCACTGGTTCTTGAGTTACTCTATTCTCCTGGTTTCTTTAGTTTCTCCAAACAGTTATTGCTATATTTTGGTTTTGTAAATTCTTCATACCCTTCCTCATGGTTGGAAGTGGTCAGATGGTGCTTATATTTAGGAGGTACAGATGACAGGACTTGGTGATGGATTAGGTATGGATGGGACGTGAAAGAAAGAATGGCCTTTAAGATGACCCTGAATGTTCCAGATTAAGAGCTACCACTCAATCCAACACCTGACCCTGATACTATATCCTACTGTGGAGGGTGAAATATTAGTAAAGACATTATTAGGTCAGTTTTCAACTAGAATATAAACAGATGAAAGGATATATCAAGTTGAATTTATAGATTTGATAACCACTATGGTTATGTAAGAGAAAGTCACTATTTTTAGGAAATAAACACTGAAGCATTAAGGGTTTAAAGGTAATAAAGTATGTATCTTGACTTGAAAGATTCAGGTAGAAAAAATTGCATGTACTCCACACAGACACATGTTCAGAAACAGTGTAAATAATAACGCAAATGGAATAAAAGGTTAACACTATGTAGATCTGGGTAAACAGTATTTGAATATTCTTTGAACTATTTATAATTTTGCAACTTTATGTAAGTTTGGCATTATTTCCAAATTTTAAAAATTCTTTTTAACTTTACATTAATAGGTTACTTTAAATGCTTTAAATTTTCATTTACAAATCCTGCATTTCTTCATTTAAAACAGAAATACGATCCTAGATTTTTTATTTGAATAATTGAGTGGCTAGTGATACCATATATCAAGATGGAGAAGACTGAGGGAGGAATGGGGGAATCTGGAGCTTTGATTTGGCCTTGCTAAGTTTGAGGTACCAACAGGACATCCAAGTGGAAATGCCAAATAGTTACATGTCTGAAGGGCTGGATTGAGATTGGGACCAGAGATTTAAACTTGGAAATTATCAGTTTGTAGATGATGTTTATTTAAAACTTTGAGGTGGGATAAGATTACTAGAGAGTGAGTAAAGAGAGTATTAATTCAAGTAAGAGCATGACTCTCAACTACTATTTAAATAAGGAACTCAACTGGGCCTCGGGGTTTATAGTACTCTTAAACACAATGGGAAGAAAAGAAAATTCTGAAATTCTTCTGGGTTCACCAAGAAATCTTACAAGTACCATATTTATTCCTTTCAGAAAACAGATGTCAACTTAAATATTGTTACTTGAGCAACAAATTGTTAAATAGACGACCAATCAGAGTTGCAGCTTTTCAAAATTAAGTCATTTTATTTTACAATCTCTAATGTGGGTATTTTAAGAATCCTGTTTAGATAACTTTGGTGGGGGCAGTTTTATCATAACAAGACAGAATGGGACAGAACATATTTCAGTATAACTCTCCATACTGGACAGGTGAATAAGGTGGATTCTCCTTATCCTGAATTTTTTTTAGTTAGCAGTTAAAAAGCCAGCAATATCAAGACTAAGTACTAGGATTCTGTTAGCACAGACAGAAAAGGAGGAGTCCCTGAGAAGTATAAAACTAAAAAATGCAGAAGAAAAATTTTAAATTTATTTTTTTTTTAAAGATTTTATTTATTTGAGAGAGTGAGAGAGAGAGAGCGCACAAGCTGGAGGGGGAGAGAGGCAGACGGAGAAGCAGACTCCCCACTGAGCAGAGAGCGTGATGCGGGGCTCAATCCCGGGACCCTGGGATCATGGCCTGAGCCAAAGGCAGATGCTTAGTGACTGAGCCCCCAAAAATTTAGGAAGAAGAGAGACAGACTTAATAGAAGTAGACCACTGAGGTAGGAGAAAAAGGAGAACAGCTGGTGATTGGTAGCTAAGTGAAGAAAGTATTGAAGGAAAGAAGAGTGGCTGCCTGTGTCAAGTGCTGCTTAAAGGTTCAGTAAGGTGAAAACGGAATTGGCCCATGACTTGTAGAAACATGGAAGCAGATGACATTGGGAGTCCGCAGTAGAGTGCCGAGGACACGCTCCCAAGAGGCGTGGGCTGGGGAGAGAATGGAATGTGACAACATGGGGACAGTGTGTATAGATACATGCTTTTGAGAAGTTTTGCTATAAAGCAAAGAGAAATGAGGCCGGAACTGAAAGGGAATGTGGAGTTTAAGGCTTTTAAGATGAGATATAATAGATAGTGTTTATATGCTGATGGGAGTGATGTAGTAGAGGGGCAAGTTAAGAAGAATGAGCAAATTATCACAGGAACAAAATCCTGAGTAGGCAAGCAGGAGAACACAAATATTGAGTTTGACCTTGAGTCAGCATGGTGTCAGTTCATCCATAGACAGGAGGGAAGGCAGAATATGTGGGTACAGAGGCAGATAGGCTGACAGTCTTTGGTGGAGGAAAGAAGGGCTAATTCTTGTTAAGACTGCGTCTGATTTTCTCAGTGAGATAACATCACAGTATACTGTATGTCCAGAAGTAATAGGGTGTCTGATTAGTTACCACATTGGGAGTCCCTGACAGGTGGACCCTGAGCATCATCTCCCACCCTACACCAGACTACAGACCAGTGAATAATAACAGGAGTATTTGCCATCAGGTAGTGAATGCAGGAGCTTAAACTGGGAAGACATTGCTCTGTTCAGTGACACATATTGACTCTTCTCTGCCATCATCCAAAATGTGTAATACAAGCTGTCAAAGTTCTGCCCCTTGTCCAAACAGACTGAGCAAACAGATGTGAAAAGCAGTGTAACCCAGATTGTCATACAGATAAGTTTTGTTCATGCTAAAATATATACCTTTTACATTTTAACATCTCTGAACTGGGGATCTTAGAATCAATGGCATGTCTAATTGAGCGTGTTTTTTCTTTTCTTAATGGAATGCAGATTGTTATAATGACTTGTTAAGAGAATATCATGGCCTGTACAAACCAGTCTGTATTTATTCAAAGGAGTGTAGGTCAAATTCTTGAGAAAGCATTTGTTTTGGATATGTATTCTAAATGCATTGTCATCTAAAAAGTAAAGTCCACATTTGTAATAAATTGGGCTGTCAGTGGGTATGGAAAATTTTGGATTTCTTTTGGGAGAGCTATTTTTTTCTTTTATTCTTTTTAATCAAAGTATAGTTGACATATAATATATTTCTTTTAGGTATACATCATAGTGATTTGACATTTGTACACATTAAATGCTTACCATTGCAAGCGTAGTCACTTTCTGTCACCATACCAAGTGACTATATTCTCTATGCTGTACTTTTCATCCCCATGGCTGACTTATTTTATAACTAGAAGTTTGTGCCTCTTAACTCCCTTCACCTATTTCATCCACCCCCCCCCCCATTGCCTTCCTCTCAGGCAACCTGCAATTCTCTGTATTTGAATCTCTATTTGTTTATTTGTTGTTTTTTTGTTTTGTTTTGTTTTTTTGGATTTCACATAGAAGTGAAATCATATGATATTTGTCTTTCCCCAACTGTCTTATTTCACTTGGCAGAATACCCTCAAGGTCCATCCATGTTGTCACAAATGGCAAGATTTCATTCTTTTTTATGGCTGAGTAATACTCCATTGTGTGTGTATGTATATATATACATACACACACACATATACATATACCACATCTTCATTCATTTATCAGTGGACACTTAGGTTACTTCTATATCTTGGCTATTATAAATAATGCTGCAGTAAACACAGGGGTGGATATATCTTTCTGAATTAGTGTTTTCGTTTTCTTCAGGTAAATACCCAGGAGTGAAAATGCTGGATCATCTGGTATTCCTCTTTTTAATTTTTTGAGGAACCTCCATACTGTTTTTCACTGACTGTACCAATTTATATTTTCATGTTCAGGGGCTCCCTTTTCTCTGTATCCTTTCCAACATTTGTTATTTTTTGTTTCTTTAATACTAGCCATTCTGGGGGTGCCTGGGTGGCTCAGTCGGTTAATCATCCAACTCTTGATTTCAGCTCAGGTCATGATCTCAGGGTTGTGAGATCGAGCCCTACATCTGGCTCTGTGCTCAGCATGGAGTCTGCTTGAGATCCTCTCCCCATGCTCAAGCATGCGTGTGCTCGCTCTCTCTCTCTCAAAATTAAAAAAAAAAAAATACTAGCCCATTCTGACTGTTGTGAGGTGATATCTCATTGTGGTTTTGATTTTCATTTCCCTGATGATTAGTGATGTTGAGCATCTTTTCATGGGTTTGTTGACCATGTATGTCTTTGGGAAAATGTCTGTACAGATCCTCTGCCCACTTTTTAATTGGGTTTTCTTCATGTTGAGTTGTAGGAGTTCTTTATAAATTTTGCAAATTAACCCCTTATCAGATATATCCTTTGTAAATAACTTCTCTCACTTAGTAGATTGCCTCCCTCCCCACCCCCTACCCCACCCCCTTGAGAGAGAGAGTGTGTGAGCGGGGGTGTGGGGGTGGGGGGGACAGAGGGAGAGAGAGAATCTTATGCAGGCTCCACACCCAGTGCAGGGCTCAAGGCGGGGCTTCATCTCGTGACCCCAAAATCATGGCCTGAGCCAAAGAAAATGTTGCTTAATAAAGGTTTTGAGGACTTGTTTAAGTGACTAGGAAGAATGGCTTGGAATGAGATTATCAAATGTTTACATATTCTGTGTAGGGAGGGTGTTAAGACTTTTAAGAAAATACCTTTAAATTCCTCAGCTATCTTGTTTACACTATTAAGTCACTCTGTAATAAGAAAAAGGACGAATAAATCTCAGTTCCATTCTTGCCTCAATTTAAAATTACAAAGTCAGATGATTGTTAATATTCTCTCATTCCTCCCCCCAAAGAGAAAACTTCCTTGGTACATGGTTAAACTTTTTTTCATTTTTTATTTTTTAAAGTAGCAGAGACCAGAAAGTGATGAACTCTGAGGGCCAAGTCCACGAAGAGACAAAAGTTCTGAAATTTAAAACAAAAATGGTAAGATATGCACAGAGCCCTCCTAAACTGTCCTTCCCCCCCTTTTCCCTTCCTAAACTCTTAAAGTTTGTTCTGAAATGCTGATTTGTCTTAAATCACTCTTTTAGGCTGGTAAAGAAAATGTCAGTAGACCTCCTGGGAACAAAAATCATGTAACAATGGGAAAAAATTGTATTCCTTTAAGACCTTCTAATGAATTAACCAGTTCAACAATAGCAGTTGACACACATAATTTTGAGGATAATAATCAAATGGGACAGTCCATACCAATTAAAGATGACCCTCAAAGTCAACACATGACATTAAGCCAAGTGTTTCATCTTAAAAACAACAATAAAAAGAAACAAATATCCATAGAAAAACCAAAGCAAGATGCTAACATGTCCAAGAAGCTTGTGCTCGGGTCTTACCGTGGCCAAATTGTTCAGTCTAAGATTAATTCATTTAGAAAGCCCCTCCCAGTCAGAGATGAGAGTTCTGCAACAATGAGGAAGCCTTCAGCTGCTGTCCCTAAAGACCCAGAGCCTCCACCCACAGACACTCGCAGTACAACAGTGAGAAGTGATAAAGCCCCAAACGTGGTGACCACCACGAAACTTGGGAGCACTGCAGCTCAGGACAGACAGCTGGTGCGGCCTCCTATCAGAAGTCACCGCGACAGTGCTCAGGACGCTGTGAAACTGGGCATCGGGCGAGCCACTGCCAATGTTACAATCCGGAAGGGGCCTCGGGAGAAAGAATTACTGCAACCAAACACGGTTTCATCTAGTGCCAAAACCAGTTCTCAGGCTGTAGAGAGAAAGAAGACACTGTCAAGAAGCCTGACCTCTGAAACTGTAGCCAGGCCTGCTTCGTCTTCTAACACCAAACTGGTACAGAAATCAAAAAGCATTGACCCTCGCAGACACACTATAGCAAAAGCAACTCTTGATAGATCGGCTCAGCCCAAAGAA